GGAATACGAAATGTAACGTCTATTTAAAAATCACATAGATTGAAATATATGACAATTATTATCTGTACATTTGAGCATTACTTAGCACACAACATACTTGTAATACCTGCTCTGCCAATTTCGGAATGATGCATATCGTCCGCCTCTACTTCCGACCAAGTTGTAGGTTGTGCGGAGTCGGAAGGCGAAGTTACCACCGCTTCTGCAAGGAGTGGTTTATATTTTTAGATAGATCATTTTTGCAAGAGAATACGCCAACAATCTCTTCCTCGTCTCAGTATGTTTTGTCAGTGACTTATCTTCTGTTGTGTAGCTGATCGTGGAAATTGTTGAGTTATTTTTTCATTCCCAATTAAAATCAGAGCTGACATTTTGTTCGCACTGTTGAGCTTCGTCATATGAAGTGCTAAATAAAGTCGTTTGTCTTTTATCAAATAGCATACCGTAGGACATATTCATAAACCTAAATGATAACATTTCTCCATTTTCTTCTCCCTCGCTTCTTTTCCGTCCGATATATTCAAAGGTTGCACAGTGAAGCCAGAATGGAGAGAGCACCTCGTGTGGTCGGAGACCCACGTGAGTGCAAGGAAGCCAGCTGATCACACTTCCAGTATATTCGAACTGAGGGTGATCTTCAAGGACTCGCATGAGAGGATGACGTATGATAAAGTGGTCGTGACATCAGAAGACGTCTCTCTTACTGTAACGAGAATGTTCGAGGAAAAAAACATCGTTGGCATACAAGTTTCCATAGTCACCTGGAGAAGGATGGAGAGACTACATTTCCATAAACTCAAATTATACCATCACTTCGATCGCAGATAATTGAAGCATCTTCCTAAACTTCTCAAGGGACCTGCTGGAGCCGAACTACGTCAAAGTTAAGGGGAGCAATGTCACTCTCAACTGTTAGGTAAATCGCAGTTCCTCATTAGGTATTTTTCTGGGCTAATTGAAATGTCTATTTCGGCATACAATTCGAGCTCGCTTTATTAATTTTCCATGCAAGAAGGAAATTTAAAATTTTACATTCATTCTTCTTCACATATTTATGTAATGTCTGGATCATGATTTTTCACCAAGAAAACAAAGGTATGCCACATTATTTGTTTTGATGTTATAAATCATAACAGAAATTTCTAAAACTATTTTTGGGAGGACGGGGGATATAACATGCGTATTGTAAAAATCTTAGGATTGTTCATCAGGTTCCTTGGGGATGGAGCAGTCGGAGGCTCTTGACAGAATGCGAGGAAGCAGTAAATAGGCTATGTCCACAATTGTCACTTATGTCTCAGTTTTGTAATGACACATTGACACGTTTAGGTTGAGAATAGAAATGACTTATCATATAAACATTTCTCCCTAATGCACACACAGCATGCTGATGTGGAATTGGGAAAATACAATAGGAAGTACGTACGTGGTTTACACCCCTCGGACACAATTACAAACGAGCCATTTGCCCGGTTCTTTTTCGCTCTCTCTATCTACCTGCCTATTTCTCTCTCGATCTATCTATTCATTTATGTATGCATATATATGCACATATAAGTATTTGTTTATATATATCTATATATATACATACGTAAACACACACACACACACAAACACACACAAAACACACACACACACACACACACACACACACACACACACACACACACACACACACACACACACACACACACACACACACACACACACACACCACACACACACACATATATATATATATATATATATATATATATATATACATATATATATATATATATATATATATATATGTGTGTGGTGTGTGTGTGTGTGTGTGTGTGTTTGTGTGTGTGTGTGTGTGTGTGTGTGTGTGTGTGTGTGTGTGTGTACATACAAACATATACATATATATATATATATATATATATATATATATATATATATATATATATATTATATAATCGAAATGGCGAGGTACCTACTTGTCTATTCATTTACCTATCTATCAGCCTGCGTTTATCAGTAAACGAAAATGGGAAACAGAAAGTGTGCCGGACAAAAGGAATCTGTTGGCCTTTCTAGATGCCCGGGTGTGGAACGCGACAGGAGCACCAGTGGTCGTGCCCTTAAGCGGCCCGGAACAGCACTTTCTGAGCATCTTCTCAGGCCATAAGGTACAGCCCACCATCGGCCTTGGCGGGGCGAGGGCGACACTGTCGTATCGCGAGTCGGGGATATCTGTTCATGTCGACGGGACCGCTGGCCACCCCCTCCCAGCCTTCACACAGCACTACCTAACCATCGCCTGTTATTACGGCGCACATAGAGTGCCCATGTGTGATGTGAATGTTAGTAAATGTCACCTAATAATCATTATTAATGGATTTTGTGCGAGTGTTTAATGGATTTGCCATTGGTAATGATATTTTGGTATGTGATTTAACTGTATATCTATTTATTCCAGGCCGGGGCAAACGATACGCCTGGCAAACGCCTTTTCATGAGTGAGATGCCACGAAGTTTGGTGATTACGGGTCGCGTCAGAGACTACTTCTACGTCCTCCTCCATGCCCACAATCCTAACCCCAACCCCACGTCTGATCCAAAACAGTCTGCCCAAGCGCCTCAAAATGGTCAGTGATAACACCGCACTCTGTGATCCTCCTCTTATTTGTGCATATAGTATGGTTTTGCATTAGTATGATACCAATGCTAACGCCAGCTCTTGCTTACATGTGAAGGTGGAGTCGGCATTCTGTTAAGTGTCTTGCTTGTGGTAGTCACACTGGTCCTTGCTGTAGCTGTGGCAGTAGCTCTCTATTTGCAGTGCAAGGTCAGTAGGATGAGTTCCTGTTGCTTCCTTTGAGAACATGATATATCCCTTCACTAAACTCAAAAGGAACTTTGTTCAGACGAATCATGACTGTTTTTAGATCTAACGATTCATGGATGATTTTAAATGAACAGTTGCAGGCCAAGAGTGAGGAGAGACAGTCAGATGAATCTGAGCAACTTCTCAACAGAAGACAACCCGTGGTCTATTAAAAGACAAGTAAATATTTGTGATGCACCCATTTCTCATCGTAGATATTTTAAAAACCTAATTTGCGTATGATTTTGTGGATGTTGTTATATTATATAGAGAAGGCAAGCAACCTCATAGTCACGAAAACGACAGAATATTTCAAATGGTTCCCAATTCCTATATTCCTTCATTTCGGTCAGTAAAATTGCAGCAGAAGCTGCACTTTCAAGGGGCGAGCATCTTGCTTCAAATATTTAGTTTTCTTAATGTACATTAAACAAATTCATTTATTTTATATATCTTCTTAGTTTTGTTGTAAAACAGTTTCGATACTGTACCCATACATTACTCAATAAATACCTTTGAAAGTGCAGATCAGTGCTTCCTCGTTATCATTCTTTTCCATGGCAGCACACTGCATTCACACATTCCTCTAAGCAACATCTTTAACCTAAACCCCTCCAGTAACCAAAAAGCAAGTTAAATAAACACGATGTTTATTTAACATCCTGTACCTCCGCTTGTTCCATGAATGCTTGATGGAGCGAAATAAGCATAAAGTACAGGTCCACATAAACGTGAAACACTGCAAGAAAAAGTAATTGGCACGAAGCATGATGAACATTGAAAACTAAATAAGAAAAGCAAAACAAAATAACTAAATTTATGCTTCTATGATGAGATACTGTTCATGGGGTTCCTGTTACACAGAAACTATACTAAATCTTTGTAAATGCCTTTGTATGTGGGCTCCATGTGACTCCGAAGATAAACTAAGTAATTTATTTCATTTTGCAAACGTGGTATCCCGGGGGCTACCCGTCGTACCCAGCGGAATCACTGGTGGAGACAGAATACTATTAAGCAACATGAAGGGAAAGCGCTTGTTGATGACTGAAGCTTCTGAGCCCCCTGCGGAGCTTGACGTGTTCTTTTTACTTTATTATTACACAATTACCTATTCATTCAATCTGTTTCTTTTCCTCATTTTAGACATTGTTTTGGCCGATATCTTATCCCACTTTGGGACGTTATAGGATAGAGGCTCCTACAGTTCATCTCAAGCATAATTGTGTTCATAGAAATATTGAACAGAAATACCGTTGGATGGTATATATATATATATATATATATATATATATATATATATATATATAATATATATATATATATATATATATATATATTTATATATATATATATATACATATATATATATACGTATATATATATATATATATATATATATATATATATATATATATATATATACATATATATATGTTTGTATATATATTATATATATGTGTGTGTGTGTGTGTGTGTGTGTGTGTGTGTGTGTGTTTGTATATATATATATATTATATATATATATATATATATATATATATATATATATATTATATATATATAAACCATATACACATGTGTGTGTGTGTGTATGAATACACGCACGCATATATATATATATATATATATATATATATATATATAATTATATATATATATATATATATATATATATATATATATATATATATATATATATATATATATATATATATGTATATATATACATATATATATGTGTATATATATATATATATATATATATATATATATATATGTATATAAACATATATATACGTGTGTGTGTGTGTGCGTGTGTATAAACACACACACACACACACACACACACACACACACAGATATATATATATATGTATGTATGTATGTATGTATGTATGTTTGTATGTATATGTATAAATGACCAATGACCATCCCAAGGTGTTTCATATGAACACACTTAGGGAGGGGGAGTGTGTCCGGGGGTTAGCTGAGGCAATTTCTGGTCGTTTCACGGCGCTCGACAACTTAGCGGACCTTTTAGTTCTGTGGTACATCTTCAAGCATAAAAGGCTTAATGCAGCTCAAAAATCGATTAGTGAACGCCCAAGAACAAGACAGAATTTCATCTTGCAGATGCTGGAAG